GTCATGGAACGATATTTCACTCCAGCCGCACTGGGTCTGTGCTTGTCTCAATCTGTGTGCGTTGTCAAGAAGCATAACTGAAGGGATAGTATATGTTTGACAGAGATCCCCAATTTGAGCTGTGTATTCCAGATAGTCCTTAATTTCATCAATACCTGCTTTCCTGTGGTCGATCAATTTTGACAAAATACGGACATTGGCTGAAACCCACTGTGATAATGGCACATGTTCTGGAAGGGGTTTCCCCCTCGACGACCTTAGATACAGCTGTGCTGACCCATCACCTACTATAGGCGTCTCTTCGCTGGTCATTGATGACCTGGGCTTAGATACAAAGTCAGGAATTAGAAGTGGTTTCTCACCTCGTCCCTGTAGTGAAGCATTTCCGGGTTGTCCCATGTCTAACGACGTGGTGTGGTCTAGGAAGTCTTTGAGGTGTACATCCGACAAGCTGTTTACAAGGTCACTCAACTGTTTGTCACCCGCAAGTGTTTTTGTTGTGACAGGCGACGGCAGCGACTGTACTGGTTGCGGCGATTTCAACTGTTTTATTGCTTGAATTAGGATGTTCCGCTGACCTACGGACAATCTTAGTTCAGTAATGTCATCTAGTGACATCAAGCACAACGCAACTGGACTATCAATGTCTTCGTCATTCAAAATTTGTGCGGTCTTACTGTTCAGATGGCTGTCACTGCACCATTGTCGAAAGTCGAACTGACTTGGCTGTTCGTTTCCTTCGCCTTTTTTATTCAGAGACATTCTTCTTTGAGTGAATTTAACAAACAGACTGAGAAAAATCACCTGCACAACGTGTAGTTTGCAAGTTACGTTTGGCGCCTGTGACGTGTCCCTTGCAACAATAAAAAACAAATACCGCTTACAGCATAATTGGCCACTGACAGTCTGGATTGTCTCCCCTTGACTGTTAAATAAATGGACAGTAAATCAGATGCCATGGCATTGCCGTTTAAATTAAAATAAACTAAGGTTTATTTCTCACTTATATTTTAGATGGTGAAACAATATATATTTACTTATCGAGTTGGAAACCGAACTGTTACTGCATAAATCCTTACCCTCTCGATCATATGACCCTAAAAGCTACACTACAAGTAGAAATTTTCACTATTGAAAATATATAGATCTAGTATACATGCATTTTACATTCATTTATCCACTGTTTGTTTGATGCTAGTTAGGCCAGTATACAGAACAGCACGCGACAGCATCACTATGTATAAAAGTTGTTGTTTATTTGTTGTTTTTATGCCGCACTCAGCAATATTCCAACTATATGACGGTGGTCTGTAAATAATCGAGTCTTGACCAGACAATCCAGTGATTGATATCATGAGCATCGATCCACGAAATTGGGATCGATGACATGTATCAAACAAGTCATCGAGCCTAACCACCCGATCCCGTTAGTCACCTTTTATGACAAGCATAGTCGCCTTTTACGGCAAGCATGGGTTGCTGAAGACCTATTCTACCCCGGAATCTTCACGGGTCGAAATGTACAAGTGGCTAAAGTCACAGACTTGGGCTGTTCCCCAGTTTTATTGAAGTGTGCCCTAATTTGGCTTTCAGATAGGAGACAGAAAACTTTAAAAAGATCTGTTGTTGCTCGTGCAAGGAAAAATGCCAGCCAAGTACCAACGCTGCATGAAAAGCGGCTTCTCCTTGTGACTGGGCTCAGCGAAAGAACAATTGAATTTCCCCTTCCTGGCACCAGTGAAGATATTGTTTGTTGAGGTGGCTGTATTATTTCTTATTCAATGTGTCATATCTTATGTTTAAGAGTCAATGCTTCAGTTTAGATTTGAATCTTTGAACACATTTAGTAGGGCTGAGGGAGTGGGGACTTATCACAATCAATTGATTTTTGTGAAACTATGAGCAAATACGCTTATTTCTGTGAGTAAATAATTCATTTTGCTTGTTTTTAGATGTTTTCCAAGGGTGGTGGTGTTGAATTACCGTATTAGAGGCGGTCAGGTAGCCTAGTGGTTAAAGCGTTCGCTCGTCACGCCGAAGACCCGAGTTCGATTCCCGACATGGGTACAATGTGTGAAGCCAATTTCTGGTGTCCCCCGCCATGATATTGCTGGAATATTGCTAAAAGCGGCGTAAAATCATACTCACTCCCTCACTCACTCAAAATTAGAAATAGGGAGCTCTTATTAGAGTATTATTTTGGTGGAAAAAACAGTTGAAAGATAAATTTCGTGGTTTATGCTGACGGCCTGAACTGTTTATATGCGACAGAAATATTTTTCCAGAATTTAATTGCCCATAATTAAGGGTGCATATAACACACAAGTGCGTATTATACACGAATAAATAAGTCTTGTGTACATTGATCAATCGGAAGGGGTGCTAATTGGGATTGTTCACTTGCCAATATATTAGCAAATGTCGCCGTGGGCGTTTATTAGAGCTTGGCGCTTATTACATCGAATACGGTACTTTGTACAGCCGAGCGATCCAGGGCTGAATTGGTTGTTGCATGCACTGGCTATTGCTCAATGGAGGAACTGGCTTGTATATCCACAAGTCGGGTATATGCTAGACCAATTCAGGTCAATATCCCACTGCAAGAAAGTTTGCCGTCATCTGATTACCAGTTCGAGGAGTGCTTGAAATGTCAAGCACTCATCAATATCCACGATCTAAGGAGTCACCATAGACAATGCACATCCGAATGCGTACAGTATATTTCATGTTTTATTGCTTAATATTCAATCTCATGTTATTTATCAATATGGTTAAAGTGAGGTGAGGGTTTAACGTCGCGTCAAAGATTATTGCACTTATATAGCGACGTGCATGTACGTGTGTGTGTGTGTGGCTGCGTGTACTAATCCGGACTGATGCCGATTTATAGTGCTAGCTCACTGAGATACCATGCCGCAGTTTAACATGAACAGTCCTTGTTTTACCCCCTGAATGCCGCGCGCCAGACAGGGTAACAACAAGTACCATCTTTTAACGTCTTTTGGTATGACGCGGCCGGGGATTGAACCCCGGACCTTCCGCTCTCTGGGCGGACGCTCTACCACTAGACCACGGAGGCGGTCCTAATATGGTTAAGAAATAAAGATAAGCTTATTTTGAATCATACAGGTTTAATAATTGATATATGGTCAGTAAAGAAAATACCATCATACAGGTTTAATAATTGATATATGGTCAGTAAAGAAAATACCAAGTAGAGTCTAATCATTTTATTTAGGGATCGAGTTTGCTTACGAGTTAAGTAACTAAAAGAAAAAACGTTTTGAATTCTTTAGGAAGCAGATGACGATGAATTACCCGAACTACATAGCAGGTGAGAAGAACTTAATTTCCTATTTATATGTTTTCTGATAATTCTTATCATTCACACCCAATGATGCCATAATGATACATTGAAACAAATAATGTAAGCATTCAAAATTACCATTGTATAATATATTCAATACAACACTTGTAAATGTCTCATTTTAGGATCAGTATACTATTGTTGTTTGAATAATGGAGTTAAGTTAAGAAGCAAATGATGTGGTAAACGAAGCTACAGTTACTCCGATCGTCGATACACACACACCACACGATCCTCCATCCCCTGGTCCTAAGATGCTGAAAATCAGTGAGATACTAGAGTGAGTGTGGGTTTTAAACGACGCTTTTAACAGTATTCCAGCTATATCACGGCGTGTCAGCCTAATGTGGGAGGAAAGCCCGAAGTGATACAGAGCTCAGACGTTTACCACTTCGGTAGACCCACGAGCACGGGTATGGTGCTGACAAACCTAGAAACATAATCGGGGTGAACCGGGATTCGAACCCACAATCATAGGTTTCTGGCGTGCCCAAGGGACACAACTCTGCACAGCGAATCGCGGCGCCTTAGACGACTGGGCCAGCCGTGCCCCTGTGTGAGATATTAGACAAAGTGTGAGTTAATATAGGAACTATATACTAGCTATCGACAATTTATCACCGAAAACCAATTGTCTCCAATACCAATTCTCGCCAACACCAATTCTCACCAGCACAGCATTGCGACTTCGTTTTGGGTGAGAAATAATTAATGGAATATTTGAGTGCAATAACAGATATAACAACAAATGTGATTTGTATAACTGAAGAGGTGTGCGTGATCACGTGAAACCTGCTGAGCCTGTTGGTGATAAGTACTTAACAGACTGGAAAGTCCTATTTCCGCTGTTTTGGGGTTCCCTTTCGTTGCCTTATAGCAGAAATCAAACTTTCTCCGCGGACCGAAATAAGCGCATTTGCTCATAGTTTCACAAAAATCAATGTTACTGTACAGTCAACTTTGATCACAGAATATTTAAGAAATAATATTAACAAAATTGCGATAACTGGTCGGTGGTTACTACTCAAGTTATATATCAAGGTTGACAATTAATCACTTATTCAACCGTATTTTATTGTATTCCACAGGCAGGACATACACAATCCCGTTGACATCCTGCGGGACATACACAATCCCGTTGACGTCCTGCAGGACATACACAATCCCGTTGACGTCCTGCGGGACATACACAATCCCGTTGACGTCCTGTGGGACATACACAATCCCGATGACGTCCTGCGGGACATACACAATCCCGTTGACGTCCTGCGGGACATACACAATCCCGTTGACGTCCTGCGGGACATACACAATCCCGTTGACGTCCGTCCTGCGGGACATACACAATCCCGTTGACGTCCTGCGGGACATACACAATCCCGTTGATGTCCTGTGGGACATACATAATCCCGATGACGTCCTGCGGGACATTCACAATCCGTTGACGTGTGGGACATACACAATCCCGTTGACGTCCTGCGGGACATACACAGTTTATGACCGGCAGGGAGATACATCAAGTCATGTTCACTGACGATATGATGGACGGGGAGGTCACAAGCATATTTTGTTTCAAGAAGGAACCTCCTGAAGACAGGTTTCGACAAACTTTTAGACGAGGGCCTTATAATGTACACCTTCCCTGGAGGTTACATTTTATGGGGAAGAGGCCCAAGGTTATGGGGGGCCAAGAAAGGAATTCCTTCAACTGATGCTACATAACATCATCAAGGAGGAGAAGAGACTTTTCACCAAAAACTGAAGAAGGGCTGTTCTCCTCAGACCTGTGAATATTCTGGGGTGGAATAGATCTTCAGCAACCCATGCTTGCCGTAAAAGGCGACTAACGGGGTTGGGTGGTCAGGCTCGCTGACTTGGTTGATGCATGTCATCGATCCCACTTGCATGGATCGATGCTCATGATAATCATCACTGGATTGTCTGGTCCAGACTCGATTATTTACAGACCGCCGTCATATAGCTGGAATATTGCTGAGTGCGGCGTTAAACAACAAACCAACCAACAACCAACCTTAACATCAGACGACTGGAACATCCAGCACAGATATTTTTATGCCGCTGGTCTCCTTTGTGGTTTGTAATTTTATCGACCCATCTATTCCTTAATTATTTTTATGGGTTCATTTTATTGGACACTGATGAATTGAGATCCAAAACGTCCTAAAGATTTTAAAGCTTGGTAATAATTTGAGCAATATCTTACTAAAAGTTGATAAACTCAAGGCAATGTCCCCTGTGGGAAGACAGCTCATTTCATGTGTTCAGATAGAACCAACCAAATGTGTATACTCATGTAGAATTTATTTAAAGACATTCCTATACGTGTCTTGTATATGTCCACATTCTAAATACATTTTTGATTTTTGGTGGTGCTTATCAAAATTTGTAAAAAAATTCATTGTTATCACCAACTCATTACCCACCTGTATGTGTGTTATAATTGTAGTAATTCTTGCATATCATCTACTTGTTGTTGAGAGTTCATTTGTTTGCATCTAGGTGTTCTCCAAAACGGACCATTGCCGTGCTTCATAGAGGATGATGATGTTAACGCTGTCCTGTCTGCAGATCAGCCATCACTCTCTCAGCAGCAATTCAGAGATGGTCTCAATGCAGTATGACTCGTAGATGTAAGTAAGTGAGTGAGTGAGTTGGGTTTAACGCCGCTTTTAACAGTATTCCAGTTATATCGTGGCGTGTCAGCTTAATGTGGGAGGAGCCCGAAGTGATGCAGGTCTCAGACATTTACCACTTCGGTGAAACCCACGAGCACGGGTATGGTGCTGACAAACCTAGAAACATAATTGGGGCAAACCTGTATTCGAACCCACAATCATAGGTTTCTGGCGTGCCCAACGGACGCAACTCTGCAAAGCGAATCGCGGTGCCTTAGACGACTGGTCCCCCCGTGCCCCCGTAGATGTAAGTAATTGTAAATGTGGTATGTAAATATAATTTGGAAATAAACATACCGTATTTGACGTAATAAGCGCACAGGGCGCTCTCAATCTTAGAAATAGTGGGCTCTTATTAGTATATTATTTTGGTGATAAAAAATGAGTTGAAAGATGGTAAATTTCGTGGTTTATGCTGACAGCCTGAAATGTTTATATAAGAGAGATATATTTTTCCAAAATTTAATAGCCCATAATTAAGGGTGCATATAACACATGAGTGCGTAATATACACGAATAAATAAGTCTTCTGTACATTGATCAATAGGAAGGAGTGTTAATTGGGATTGTTTACTTGCCAATATCTTAGCAAATAGCGCTGTGGGCGCTTATTAGAACGTGGCGCTTATTATGTCGAATACGGTTCTGTGTTTTCAATGTAAAGCTCAGCTTGGTTAACAATATATTTAACCACGTTTAATTGAATGTGGACCTGAAAGCCCTTGGTTATTGCAGGATGGGCTGTAAACAGTATTTTACAGTGGGTGAGATTTACTCATAGGATATTTTTATCTAGAGACCCCCTTCATTCATCAATCGCAAAAGTTTATTTTCCAAATGCGGGATAGAAACTGTGAGGACAGTAATTATTTTAAAATTACCAATTACTGTTATGCACATCAACATGTCATGACACGATAAAACAATGTTACTATAAAGGAGTATGCTATCTGTATCTTTTTTCTTTCAGTTGATGACATCGAAACTTTGTACGAGGTACCTGTTACAACAAACTGCAAAATTGGATCTGACTTTGAGGAAACTTCGACATATTCTGAAGCCCCAATTTTCAGGTCATGGGTCAAACACGCGATCAAAAGAAGAAATGATCTATGAAGAATTCCTCAAATATTTGAAAGAAGTGACAGGTAATTATTCGCGGAGGAACTCTGTATGTAATTGATATAACAATATTTATGAATGACAACACTTTCTTCAGTACTCCAGAAATTAATCTACCTATGCAGCTTTAGAAATTGGCACTAGTCCTGTATTCCTTGGCAAACTGCCAAATAGTAATGGTATCGCAAGGACTAGTAGAAAAAAGCCCTTTTAAAAGGGTTTTGCTATATGTTATCATTATAAGGACAAGTGGACGAAAACTGTTAGTTTCTACCGCTGCCTATGTGAAGCACCTAACTAGATCGTAAAGTATTTAAATCATGTCCAGCCACAAGCCTATGTGCTCCTTAAAAAGTACATTTACCTGATCAGTAGATCATTTGATGCTTGTATGGAATTATTAGGAAACATGGAAAATATCACCTCGTTTCTTCTGATTTGAAATATATCTACACAAGTCGATGCAATTTTGAAACTCTCAGGCTTTTCGAAGAGTTTTTTAACTTTTTTTTGACGAGTATTGATATGTTTCATATCAAAAGACACGAGAGTGAGATTTTATTTATCTCCCAGCATAATTCTACCAACGTTTCAACTTATAAACAGACACAGCTTCAGTGGTAGAGATATTAGTGATGTCATTTGATTGTGATGTCGTGGTAGCCTATCATTTGTTTGTTTGTTGTTTAACGCCGCACCCAGCAATATTCCAGCTATATGACAGCGGTCTATAAATAATCGAGTCGGGGCGGTCGGGTAGCCTAGTGGTTAAAGCGTTCGCTCGTCACGCCGAAGCCCCGGGTTCGATTCCCAACATGGGTACAATGTGTGAAGCCCATTTCTGGTGTCCCCTGCCGTGATATTGCTGGAATATTGCTAAAAGCGGCGTAAAACCAAACTCACTCACTCACTCACTCTGGACCAGACAATCCAGTGATTGACAACATTTGAACATACTGAGATAAGATGAATTATCATTAATTGCATGAATTTAATAATCAAGCTAAATAAGGAATTGTTTCATATTTGGTGTCTCAAACAAAGTCAATTACATGTTTAGGTATAAATGTGGATATAAATTGAATGATAATGAGATTATTGTTGCATGTATCAAATACAATGAAATGTGTCAGCATGATTTATAATAATTCATGTGGTCATAAATAAGTGTATAATTTGTTTGTTTGTTGTTTAACGCCACACTCAGAAATATTCCAGCTATATAACGGCGGGGTGTAAATAATCGAGCCTGGGCCAGGCAATCCAGTGATTGACATCTTGATCATCGACCCACGCAATTGGGATCGGTGACATGCATCAACCAAGTCAGCGAGCCTGACTTCCTGATCCCGTTAGTCGCCTCTTACGACAAGCATAGTTGCCTTTTACCGCAAGCATGGGTTGCTGAAGACCTATTCTACCCCAGATCTTCACGGGTCTATGATATATGTTTCAGATAACCAGGCCCCTCCTATATTCAATCAGCAACTCAGAGGAGTGGTGTTGATTTGTTCGACCTGCTGGTCAGGGAAACAAACAGGTATGCTGAGCAGTACCTGCAGAGCTGCACTCTATCACCACAGGGCAGGGCTCGGGCGTGGAGACCCGTAGACGGGGAGAAATGCGAGCATTTCTTGGACTCTTCTTGGCCATGGGTGTCATCAAGAAGCCAACCATCGCTTCCTACTGGAATGAGGGGGACAAGAACTGGCTGGTGTCAACACCTTCCTTCAGGGGGATCATGCCGAGGAATCGCTTCCAAGTCATCATGCGGTTCCTCCACTGCAACGACATCTCTGTTGCAGTGCCCCGAGGGCAGCCAGATCACGACCCCCTCCACAAGATCAGGCCTGTCCTTGATCTTGTGAAAGGATCATTCGCAAACTCTCATGGGTATGTCATCTTTTTACTTTCTTAATTCTGATATATCATATAAAAAGTATTTGAACAATATTCATTATGGCACATCTTTCATGTCGTGAAAGTCCTATTGAATTCTACATGTTAAATGACAATATGAAAATTACATATAGCAAAAATTGCAGATTTTTAAAATGAACATTTGTAAAATGATTTTGTATTTAAAACTTCATAAATAGATAAGGTATAAGGATCTATACCGAAACGTCGCCTTGACAGTAAATAAAGAAGTTGTTATCCACAAATTGTGTCTATTTTGTCATCCATCAACTAAGTAATGCATATCACACAATTCCTTTTTTCAGGCTGACCCAGAGTGTTTACGTTGATGAAAGGATGGTTGGCTCCAAAGGGCGACATCATCTTGTACAGTAAATGGCCAACAAGAAAGCCCACAGAGGGGGGGTGAAGTTGTGGATCATTGCCGAGGCGGGTACTGGCTACACCCATCAAGTTCGTATTTACAAGGGCCGGAACCTTGGAGGACCACCGCCCAAGAAGGGTCTTGGGCATGGTGTGGTCCTGGACGTGATGGACCCGCATCTTGAACCACATCATCTGCGACAACTACTTCAGCAGTCCGTCTCTCTGCCATGCTCTATTTGACAGGAAGACATTCTGCACAGGAGTTGTCGCCGTCCGAAGGAAGGGAATGCCGAGTTCTTTTGTTGGGAAACGACCACCTAGGGGCTCGACAATTGTGAGAAGACAGGGTCCACTGCTGGCAGTGCTCTTTTAAAATAGGAGGGTCTTCACAATCCTATCTACCATGGGTAGTCCGAGGTAAATTCAAAATATTAAATATATTTGTCAATATTCTGTTTAGTGTTCAACAGTGTTAAAAAACTAACAGTTTCATGACGTAACAATCAGCACTCACAAACTTTACTGCCCACACTGCCCAAGGAATTACTCACGCCGGAACGGGACTGCTACAAAGACACTTAAGGAGCGCCCACAGCTCCAAAAGGTTCATCTGTCTCTTATGTCAAAAATCATACAAACGGCAGGATGATTTCAAGAATCACCAGAAACGTCATGGTTGGTTTGTTGTTTAACGCCGCACTCAGCAATATTCCAGCTATATGACGGTGGTCTGTAAATAATCGAGTCTGGACCAGACAATCCAGTGATTAGTATTATGAGCATTGATCCACGCAATTTGAATCGATGACATGCATCAACCAAGTCAGCGAGCCTGACCACCCGATCCCGTTAGTTGCCTTTTCGAACAAGTATAGTCGCCTTTTACGGCAAGCATGGGTTGCTGAAAACCTATGCTAACCCGGATCTTCACGGGTCTGAAGAACATCATGGACAATCTAAAGCTAAAAAAGCAGCAACCGCTAACACCACTGCTACAATAAGCGTGGCTGCCAGCCCGCTACTGCTGGAAATCACCATTCCCTCACATACGAGAATACATTCCAAATCTGTGGAAATACCGAGACAAGGACAGCCCAGCGTAACAACACATGATACGCACAACAGCGCCAGTGACTTAGCAAATGGTCCGTCCTCATCTATGACAACCTACCCTCGACTCGATGTAGACATACCACCCAAATCGCCGCCGTACAGCCCGCCGTATATACTCCCTCCACCATTCACCAAATGGACAGAGTACCCGGCGGAGTACTTAGATGATCTAAATGTCAACCTGGACACTGAATTTTGGCATGTCTACAGGCCACAAAACAAAAAGGATATGGCCAAGCTGTCATCCTCAATTAGCAGACCTCACGTGCCAACAATAAGGCCAAATGGGCCCACAAATAAGTAAATTTTGGGTCCAAAATACAAAAGGGTTTGTTCTGTTTCAGGTCTATTGAACTGAGGTAGACTCTGAAACCTAAACTGGGACCACATTTAGTCCTGGAAAATATACACACAAATCCACCATATGCATTAGGCCTATAACGACAACTGTGATATAAATATACAACACACAACAATAAATTTTGAACGCACAAAGTTTATTGAAGCAATCCTAAAATCATGACCACCGGTAATCTGACTGTGCTCATGTCGCCCCTACCCCAGCCCTGCCACCAGTCCAACGGCCCTGAGTACACCACTCACAATCCACCAGTAACAATTAGACCACCGAGCCACCCCTACCAGTAGACTCCACGGGTATTACATCTGGAACATAAAGTGTATATAAGGAGCCCCCCTACCTACACTGACAGTCTGATGAGAGCACCCACAGTCTCAGTCCACTAGTCCTGATATAACATATAGCAGAACCCTCAACAAAGGCACATTTCCTGATGTTCCTTAACTAGGGGGCAGTTTGGCAAGGAATATAGTTGGTTGGTTGGTTTGTTGTTAAACGCCACACTCAGCAATAGTCCAGCTACATGACGGCCGTCTTTAAATAATCGAGTCTGGACCAGACAATCCAGTGATTGACATCATGCGCATCGATCCACGCAGTTGGGACCAATGACATGCATCAACCAAGTCAGCGAGCCTGACCACCTGATCCCGTTAGTCGTCTTTTACGACAAGCATAGTCGCTTTTTACGGCAAGCATGGGTTGTTGAAGACCTATTCCACCCCGGAATCTTCAGGGTCTACTGTGAATAGAAAATGGATTTGTGTATATATTAAAGGACATGTTGGTGCGTGAGCATGATTGAACGCCACATCTGCAATATTGCAGTTAATTCGTGGCGATTCCTTGTATATGGATTATTGATCTTTTGTTCATAATTATGTACTTCATGTAAATAGAGTGAGTATTAATAATGCCACTTTTAGCAGTATTCTAGCAAAGATGCGGCAGTTTTATTAAAATTGATTGTGCATAGTTTATATTTTATTCACATGTAAATACTGTCAATAAATATGTATATAATGAGAGATTGTTACATTTGTCTTTTATATCTCATTTAAACAGTTACATCTACTCGGCTATAGAAACTAAATGTTTTTCTTTGTGTCCTTATATAATGTAAACCCTCAAAAATGGCAAATTTCGACTAGTCCGCATTATACCTTAACGATGGGCAGTTTGGCAAGGACTATTGGACAAGTGCCAATTTCTTAATGCAGCTACACATTATGTCTTTGCCGTCACATATTCTGATCAAGTTCGCTCAACTGACATAACGACCCGTGAAGATTCCGAGGTAGAATAGATCTTCAGCAACCCATGCTTGCCGTATAAGATGACTACACTTGTCGTAAAAGGCGACTAACGGGATCGGGTGGTCAGGCTCGCTGACTTGGTTGATGCATGCCATCGATCCCAATTGCGTGGATCGATGCTCATGATATCAATCACTGGATTGTCTGGTCCAGAACAACAACAACAACAAACAACAACTGACATAACGTAATCCACAAATGTCAGCAACAAATGCCACGAGGAGTCGCGGACGTGAGAGAAGACTGCAAGTCGTGTTACAGCTTACGCTAATCTGAAATGTCTGTTTTTTTCTGGCGGGGAACCTTTGCCTTCCTTTTTGTCAAATTCGTCAAACATTACCTTTTTTCAAATTCGTCAAACATTACCAGTTATGAATAGTTTGATTTGTATAAAATGTCCGTTGAAATGATGTTAACCTGTTACTTCGGATAACGGTATACATGACAGCTAGTCTACCACATCGCCATGGAAATGATTCATAAACAAGTTCCCGACAGACAGATTTATTATAGAGTTCAATTTCGATTATACTTTGAACATTTCATGACAAAAATCAAATATAAATGAATAGGTCTTCAGCAACCCATGCTTGCTGTAAAAGGCGACTAACGGGATCGGGCGGTCAGGCTCGCTGACTTGGTTGATGCATGTAATCGATCCAAATTGTGTGGATAGATGCTCATGATATTAATCACTGGATTGTCTGGTCCACACTAGATTATTTTACAGACCACCGTCATATAGCTGGAATATTGCCGAGTGCGGCGTTAACCAACCAACCAACCAACCAACCAACATATAAATCCAATTGACTAATAAATGTTAGCGAACACAGTTAATTCCTTTGAGTATGGTTTGGTTTGGTTTGAAAGTTTGTGGTGTTCCCATCAAAGTACCCCATACTATGTGACATGTAACATGGTGCCAAATGTGTTTTATTTAGTAGAAACAACACAATGGTGACAAAATATACCCCATATGGCTTCTAACTTGTTGAAAGGAAGAAATTTCGACCATCAGATAGAACAGTTCACCACAACGATTTTGTTTTTTTCTGATTCTTTAAGGGTTCTATCTAAATTTGTATAGAAAACTCCATTGCCCGTTCGGCAAGTCACATCATATCAATGTAAATATTCGATTTTTTAAATATTACAGGTTAATCAGGGTAAGATTACACCCTTTACATTCACGAAATCGGGTGGTCAGGCTTGCTGACTTGGTTGATGCATATCATCGGTCCCAATTGCGTGGATCGATGCTCATGATATTAATCACTGGATTGTCTGGTCCAGACTCGATTATTTACAGACCGCCGTCATATAGCTGGAATATTGCTGAGTGCGGCGTTAAACAACAAACCAACCAACATTCACGAATAAATGTGTATTTCATGAATGGTCCAGTTTTGAACGCATTACATTTTGCCCTGTTTATCATTAAAAACACTATAAATATGGCAACAAGACTTTTATGTGTTTTTTTAAAGTTTAATCTGAAACTGTATAATGTAAAGCATAAAACATCAACAGATTATTTGAAATAAAATAATAATACATTAAAATACGTGAGTGTGTTGACAAGTATCTCATTTGAATTTGCAACAGTCTTTTCCCTAACAACTCATGTTCCTAACACTGACCCGTGAAGATTCCGGGGTAGAATAGGTCTTCAGCAACCCATGATTGCCGTAAAAGGCGACTATGCTTGTCGTAAAAGGCGACTAACGGGATCAGGTGGTCAGGCTCGCTGACTTGGTTGATGCATGTCATCGTATCCCAATTGCGTGGATTGATGCTCATGATATCAATCACTGGATTGTCTGGTCCAGACTCGATTACTTACAGACCGCCGTCATATAGCTGGAATATTGCTGAGTGCGGCGTTAAACAACAAACCAACCAACCAACTATATTCCTTGCCAAACTGGCCCCTAGTTAAGGAACATCAGGAAATGTGCCTTTGTTGAGGTTATATGTTATTATCAGGACTAGTGGACTGAGACTGTGGGTGCTCTCATCAGACTGTTGTGTGTAGGTAGGGGGCTCCTAATATACACTTTATGTTCCAGATGTAATACCCGTGGAGTCTACTAACATATGTTCCTAACATATCAGAGTAAAGTCAGATAACTTTTTCATACAACTTTTAGAACTCATTCCCTGGGTAAAATACGAAACTAGTGTAATGAGAAATACAAATCTGTCAGCCACACGATAACATAAACTTTACCAATAGCTTGCATTTAATCCAGATAGTGTTTGAGAACAAAATGGTATGTGCTCAAACCATGTTTGTTTGTTTGTTGTTTAACGCCGCACTCCAGCTATATGA